CCCTCTCCCCCCTTCCCATTATATACAATGGCCCACTCCTAATACGAGTCGACTCTTCAATTAGTTGACGTAGGTTATAAAGATTGGTAATATTAGTCAATAAAGTTAGTGAATTATGATCTAATGATCTATACAGTTGTTGCCCTTAAATTATAGCCCAGGTCACCCATTGCATAATATTCAACGTTTTACGCATCTAGTTGCCAATTAGTTTCTAGCTCAAAATAGTTCAATTTGTCTACACCCGAGTAAGGTGGTCTATACCATGTTGTAATGAGAAAAAGACTTTGAGCTGGGTTTGCGGGTTTCAGTGCACTGAATTCTTAATTTGGTCAATGCATGAACAGGTCGGGTCGCGGTAAAAAATGTATCGTTAACCGAACGTAAAAACAAACTCCCCCACCATGTTTACCATTGACGCCTCTATCACGACGAACTGTTTCATACCCAGCAAGCCTTGTCTCATTTATGGCTAAAACGTCGACCGGACTGCTGACAAGAAATACTCGAAGTTCGTCGATATGCTTGACTATACTGGTAATATTCAGTCAGTAAGGCCAATTTGAAGCCTCGCATAACTACAGTGGCGTAACAGAAGGGTGTCCGAGTTATAGAGGGCCCGAAATTTGCAATAGGTGGCGCCCAAAGCAGGAATTAGTGAAATTTGGACCTTTTTTATTAGATAAGGATTGGCAAAAAATTTTTGCGATTATTTTTTTAATTGTCATAGTCTGGAAAATTTTTTTTAACCCTTTTTTGGAAAAAATTAGGGGGCCCAATTAAACTAATTTGGCGGGGGCCTCAGGAGGTTCCGTTACGCCACTGCTCGCATATTAGGTAGAAAGTAATTAGATTCACTGATAACATCAATTGTTTGATCATGATAGACTGTAGTAGCTACCTCACACGGCATCGAGTCATGCAGTCAATTAAAAATATCACATTAGCAAATTCTTTAAAATTTCTTTGCCGAATTACACTAACATGCCTACGCCATAGCCTGCTCAAATAAAGTCCTCTAAAGTTCAAATGAGTGCTAGTGATGTCAATATTGTCTAAAAAGTGAGTTATATTGGTTAAAAAATGAGTAAATGAGCAGGCCTTTCAGAGAGGGGGGGGGGGGCAAAAGGGGATATTTGCCCCGGGCTCTCAGTTTAAGGGAGCGCCAAAATTTCCAAAATTACCAAAAAAAATTTGGAACGTTTTTTTTATATAAATATATAATGGTATGAGAAAGAATTTCTAATCCTAAATTTTACAGATGTTGGTAAAAAAGGGTTTTACCCATGATTTAACAGGAATTTGTCCGGGAAAAATTTTTTTAACCCTAATTTAACCGCTGTTTGTCCGGAAAGATTTTTTGTCTAATTTTTTAATGACGGAAAAATTGTTAATCTCCCTTCTCCCCCCCCCCCCGCTCACCAATATTTTTGGGGAAAATAAGGGCCCCAAAATTAAAATTTGCGCCTGGGCCCGAACTTCTATGATAGGCCATGTAAATGAGTGCTAGTGATGTTAGTAAAGTCTTTTAAACAGCCTTCGGTTAACCGCGCAACGCATTTAACCGAAGGCTGTTTAAAAGACTTTACTAACATCACTAGCACTCATTTACATGGCCTATCAGAGAAATTCGGGGCCAGGCGCAAATTTTAATTTTGGGGCCCCTATTTTCACCAAAAATATTGGTGAGCGGGGGGGGGGGGGGAGACGGGGGATTAACAATTTTTCCGTCATTAAAAAAATAATCACAAAAAAATTTTCCCAATCCTTATCTAACAAAAAAGGTCCAAATTTCACTAATTCCTGCTTTGGGCGCCACCCGTTGCAAATTCCGGGCCTCTATAACTCGGACACCCTTCAGTTACGCCACTGTAGGTATGCGAGGCTTCAAATTGGCCAGTCTAGTGAAGCATATCAACGAACTTCGAGTATTTCTTGTCAGCAGCCCGGTCGACGTTTTAGCCATAAATGAGACAAGGCTTGCTGGGTATGAAACAGTTCGTCGTGATAGAGGCGTCAATTGATAAACAGGCATGGTGGGGGAGTTTGTTTTTACGTTCGGTTAACGATAGTTTTTTACCGCCATCCGACCTGTTCATGCATTGACCAAATTTAGAATTCAGTGCATTGAAATCCGCAAATTAACCCAGCTCAAAGTCTTTTTCTCATTACAACATGGTATAGACCACCTTACTCGGGTGTAGACAAATTCACTATTTTGAGAAACTAATTGGAAACTAGATGCACAAAACGTTGAATATTATGCAATGGGTGGCCTGGGCTATAATTTAAGGGAAACCACTGTAGATCATTAGATCATAATTCACTAAGTTTATTGACTAAATATTACCAATCAGTATAACCTACGTCAACTAATTGAAGAGATGTTGGTAAAAATTAAATGGTTTTACCATATTTTAACAGGAATTAACCCTAATTTAACTGCTGTTTGTCCGGAAAATTTTTTTTGGCTATTTTTTAATGTCCGGAAAAATTTTTTTATCCCCCTCCCCTCCCGCTCACCAATATTTGTGGGGAAAATAGGGGCTCAAAAATTAAAATTTGCCCCGGGCTGACGAAATCCCCTGATAGGCCATGTAAATGGTGCTAGTGATGTTAGTAAAGTCTTTAACAGCCTTCGGTTAACCGCGCAACGCATTTGGGGAGACTGGTTTCGGATTTGTTGCATCCGGGAATTTTAAGTTCCCGGACACACTTTTTGTATTTATATTCAACACTTTTCGCATTTATATATTCAACAGAATTTCGCATTTATATATTCAACATTGAATAAGAATGTAAACTTTTCGTGTTGAATATGAATATGTTCATAGTTGAAGTTGAATAAGTATATTTCATATGTGTTTATTGTTGAATATGAATATAATTATTGTTGTTGAATATAATTATTTTAGGTTGAAGTTGAATAAATATATTTCATATATGTTTATTGTTGAATATGAATATAATTATTGTTGTTGAATATAATTATTCTAGGTTGAAGTTAAATGCTAATATAGTGAATTTTGCAACAAAATACCAACCATACCTGCACATATTAGCCATTCATATCTTAAAATTGATATTTATTTCATGATTGTTTCTCTAAATGCTACATAATGTAAGTCAGAAATACATCTGTCGTTGTGATTAAAAATATAAAATCATATTTGAAAAATTTTTAATATACAGGGTGTATAAAAAAAAGTGCACAGATTTGAAATTGCTCTTAAATTCGCAAAACAGCTATTAGTATCCAGTTTTTGATGTATATAGCTTCTTTGGGTACTTATAATGTAGAAAAATAGAAAAAATTTCTTGAACTCAAATTGGATAAACCAGAGGGGTATGTCTTTTCCAACAAACTAAAAATGGCTTGCGCACGAAATTTAAACGCTTTAATCATATTTTGAGTTGATAGATGGAACATTTGTTGCGGTTTTAATTACTGTACAAAATTTCAGACAATTTACTTTAGTTTAAGCCCCTTTAACTATTCATTTTTCTCTAAAAAAATTAGCCTTTCGCATGCTTAATTATGCCTTTACATAACTTGCATGTTGCTGACATATGCAAATTAGGCAAAGGCATTGATTAGCAGCAAATGGATGTTTTTTAAGAAAAAATGTAAGTTTGCGTGAATGGTTAAAGGGCGTAAACTGAAGCAAATTGTCTGAAATTTTGTACAGTAATTAAACACGCAACAAACTTTCCATCTGTTAACTTAAAATATGACTAAAGCTTTCAAATTTCGTGCGCAAGCCATTTTTATTTTGTTCGAAAAGACACACCTCCCTGGTTCACAAAATTTGAGTTCGAGAAATATTTTCCATTTTTCTACATTATAAGTACCCAAAGAAGCTATATACATAAAAAAACTGGATACTAATAGCTGTTTTGCGAATTTAAGAGCAAATTTCAAATCTGTGCACTTTTTTTATACACCCTGTATATGCTGGCCGAACGTTGCAAAGCTACGGAAATAATTTACAAGCGCTCCCCCCGGATTGTTTACACTATACATCTATCCATCCATCCATCCATCCATTGTTGAGTTACGTAATGACGTAATGCCTTGCACCCCATCACAATAGTACAAACTTGACTTCGTCAACTTTGCACTAAAAATGGGGGGTTGTAGCCTTCGTGAGAAAGGCTAATTGGTGTGGATACGTGTGACCACTGAAAAATTTGCAGTGGCATTGCTGATACGTTAAAAGAGATTCTCATTAACTTTCTGCTGAGCAAAAAATATTTCCCATATTGAGAAATTGGTTATTAGTAACGTCTGTTCCTTCTGAAATTTGTGGTGCTGCCTTTTCCAAATCTGAGATTATACGCAGTGAATAAGGAATTTGTTCAACTATAATTGTGAGTATGATCATTATACGTTGATTTACAGTTAAATGTTTGAAAAAATGTTTTCACACCGCTTAGATTTTTCACGTCGTTTTCCAAAAAGTACCCCAAAAACGGCGAATTTGGATTTCGTGAGAAAGGCTAATTGTGGCTCTAAAACTCATTAGAAAAGGTGTGAAAGCTGTATCTTTCAAGTTACCTGACCAATATCCATACAGTAACGCCAATATAGTTTAGGTTCGAAATTCGATTTTGATATAAATCAGTAATGAGAAAAAACAAAACAAAGAAATAAACACGAAAGTTGCAAGTAGCTAGATCATTATTAATATCAACAAATACCAAGTCGTATGTTCATATATTGACACAATCCCGGCAAAATAATCATATATTCATTACAAGTAAATGGCAATTGCAGTTTATTTAAAAAGCCACTGAACTAAAAAACCTGAAGCACTGCCTCCAAAGTTTTAACTATGTTGAAAAAATAATCGCCCATTAAGGGGTTTAGGTAATTTACGCAACAATGTTCCTTGTTTGCCCTACAGTACTACAGTCAATCATAAAATTATTAATGGAAAATGAAGGCAAGTTTCTACGAACAGATGGACCAAGATTCCATACTTCGATAGTCTGGTAGATCAAACATTTTCTGTTGTCGACGCATTATCGCTTTCAGTGGGCAATATAACTGCTGCGGGTCTTTCTATTGTACTATAACTATTACCACTTTCCCCCCCTCCACTTCCGGCTGAATTACCTTGTTGTAGATTGCTCAACTTGTTGTATGGGACAAAAACATGTCGTGCGCGTTGCATGACATCATAAACATGGCGGCCGAACTGGTCAACATTTCCCCAAGCGTTTCGAAGCCACTCCATAGCAAATGGTCGAATTAACTGAAGTCTGTCATACCATGAATTTCGCGCAGGTTCTGTGTTCATGTACTCTCTTCTGTAGCGCACCACACCACGCGAGAGGCCTGGAGCTGGTTTCCCGTCACTTGTCACGTTCTCATATTCTGCACTAGCGCCAGTCTCTTGTCGTGAAGTCGCTATTTCTTCTGAAGTATTGTAGTCCTCCAGCTGTTGAGGATCGTTGGGACGTGGCGGTAAAAAATCCAAACTGGTGTAATGATGGCCTAGAGAATTCAAATTGCAATATGTAGATCAGTAGTTTCAGTTGATGATGATTTGATCGTTTCTGTTCGCAATGTTACAAAATTATCAACGGAAATATTAAAATTTACAAGAAATACATGCATGCAGAAACCTTCGCCTTACTGACAAAACCATTATATTTTCCGAGCATGAAGTATTTAAGTAGTTGCCATGGAATCACGAAGATATCCCCGAAAGATATCACTTCTAATTACAAAATTGTCAATTTCCCAAACATATAAATGTTAGGTAAGCGATTAGACGTTATAAAACGTAATATAAGCTTCAATTTAATGTAAAGTTCAACCACAAACGCTTCGCAAAACGTTTTAGAATGTACTTAAAGCTAAACTGCCTTTCATCGATAAACTTTGAGTTTGAAATAAAATGATTTCAAATTCTTGCATGAAAATAACTTTGCTTGCCTCTTCATTTAAAAATTTTAATATAACAAAAAGGGTAATAAATAAAATTACACTGAAATTATATGCTGACGGCATTTTTTATACGCTATATGCAGTCGTTAAAATGCGAATTTTAAATTTGACCAATTTTGAGATCAGTGAGGATAACCACCCACCCACGGTGAATCATAGCCATTCGCCCGCGATTATTTTATTTATTTTGATTTAGACTTTGCTAATTCCACAGAACAGTTGCGTAGCCAGCTCGGATAACTAGGGTGGTCCATATTCATATATTCGTGTTCATAAAAACAATAGATTTCGAAAGAAATCAACAATGCAGAACACGAATATATGAATATGGACCCCCAATTGTCGAGCTGGTTACGCCGCTGCCACAGAACACTATACAGAAGTCGATCTCCATTGTTTTTTGCGTAAGCGCTGTTTGTCATGATTCGTGACTCAGCAAGTACCCTAAACAGAAGTAGTCAACCCCCTGGAAATATTCAAAATTACGCACGTCCTGGGGTGTGACTGCTTTTGTTTACTGTACTTGCTGAGTGACGAATCATGACAAACAGCGCTTACGCAAAAAACAATGGGGATGGGCTTCTGTACCGTATTCTGTACTAATGTGTTCCTTTCCCCGACTGTAAATAGCCGGGCGGAATTAGTACCCTCACCCCGGGATTACGCCCGGAACGGCGCTCCTCGACGTTGGCTGAGGGAGAACAGTAAGTTAAGTCAATTGACATATCTTTCAAAAGATTTGTTCGGGATAAAGTCACTTTGATAACTTGAAATCGTAGTTTGCACATTAATAACTTTTTCAAATCAAACGACATTATAAAATTTCTAAATAATTTGAAGAAAGTTGTAAATAAATGAGTGGATAAAGTGTAAAAGACTAAATATCCAACCTCACTTGCTTTAATGAAGGCAGTTTAGAAAGAAGAAATGAATGACAGGTTATAATGTTCTCTCTAATCTTTTTGTTCTAATGACAGGTTAGAACAATTATCTTTGAATTAGAACAAATTTGATCTTGACCTCACCTGGTTTTCGACGTCGTCTTCGAAGAATGAAAATAAAACATGCCACTGTTACGATGATCACAAAAACAACAGCAGCAACAACGGTGATAACAATCATCTGAGAGTCGAAGTGGACTGAAATTTTTTAAATATATTTGTTCACTTGAATGGAAAAGAGCGTCTTTCCACCTCACTTATCGATTGCTCTCCTTGGTCGCGATAATAGAATTGACAACTTTTTGCTGACTGCCTATAGCTTTGATTGGATTTAATTTATCTTGCAATAGAAGTCACCAGATTCAAGAGCTATGAACCTGTTAGGTGCAGAGATCACATGACAAACATGTGATCCGATACTTGCAATGCATGTTTTGTTTGTTCCAGGGAAGAAACCAGCGCGTTTTGTGAAATAGCGAGTCAACTCAGTAAAATGAATAATTCTAGCAGAAAAACAATTGGCACAAAAATGACATTCTCTATAAAATAAGGAGATAGCCCTCTTGATATTTCAATGTTACCATCCCTTGCAACAGTTTGTCCATGGGGAAAAAGTTATATGGGGGTAATCACCCCTCCCCTCCACCAATTACTGAAATACTTTGAATGATACCTGTATAACTGTTTAACAAAGCTGTAATAATAATTTTTCAACTATGAAACCATTGGTAGGCTATAATTTATATAAGCTATATATTGCATTAAATTTGAGGCAGAGAGGTTTAAATATAATTACGATTTACAGCAACGACAAGTGGCCATCGGCAACATATTTTGCCCACTCACCAAAAAGAACAATTCACGCCACTATCTGATAAAGTCTGCTTGAACACAATGCGCTGTTGCTTAGTTTTTTAATTAAATTAAACCCACCAATTTTGGCAAAATTATTAAATTATTATTACTAATAACCATTAGAGGAAGATTTTACCTGGACAAGGATTCACTTTACACGTCAGAATTTCTTGAGCCGGTCCTTGTTTGCTACAATTTCCTCCAAATTTTCCAGGGGGGTTATCGCACTGTCGTATCCTTATTTCGACACCTTGACCACAAGTGGCACTGCATGGTGACGCTGTCCAGTTGCCGTACGAACCATCGACTAGAAATATAAACAACAAGCTTTTGTTGGTAGGGATGCAACTACCTGATAAATATAAGGAGAATTTCGACTTTCGAGCGAAGCCCTTCGTCTGGAGTTACTAGCGGTATCGGGGAAAATACATGAGCTCTTATACTAAGAATATAAAAACATCACGTGACAAAAGATGAACCAATCAGATGGATTTAGTCCGAACTAAGTAGAAACAAAAAAATATGTAAAACATATTACAGAAAATTAGAGCAAATACAACAAAATATATGAAATATATGAAACAAGTATGAAATAAGGTAACAATTAAAAATTGCATATTTGTTTCATATACACGGCCGTTGGAGTTTGCCTTCGGGGGGGGGGGAAGGTTAGATTTACCTGAATTTTTCCAACTTTACGTTTTTACCAGATTTTGCGACGCCTGCAAGGCGTCACCATGGTTGGTACCGAGCAAAATATTTTGAAAATTTGAAACTTTCCTAACCAATATTTCAATATTTTAGTATTGCCTAACAATAAAGATAAGTATTGTTACTTTCAGTTTAATTTGACCAGGAAAATTGAGAACATTTTTAAAATTTGGACTCTCCAGATCGTCAAATTTTGTCTCCAATAAATATCTCCAACGCGTCTCAACGTTTTAAGGTGGTCAGAGCATACAGTTCACTTTTTATGCCCTGAGAATTACCTCAATTTACATGAAAGTCTACTGGAAATCTACCTGGAATTGCTCATGAGTAATTATAGGGGGGGGGGGGAGGAGGTGTTGCACCGGTCGTTACGGCCCTGTTTTCATATAATTCATATATTTTGTTGTATTTGCTGTAGTTTTCTGTATATTTGTATCAATATATTCTGTAATGTGATTTACATATTTTTTGTTTATACTTTGTTTTGACTAATTCAACTCAACTCAACTCAACTCAACTCAATTCAATTCAATTCAATTCAATTCAATTCAATTTAATTTAATTTAATTTAATTTAATTTAATTTAATTTAATTTAATTTAATTTAATTTAATTTAATTTAATTTAATTTAATTTAATTTAATTTAATTTAATTTAATTTAATTTAATTTAATTTAATTTAATTTAATTTAATTTAATTTAACTTAATTTAATCCCCGAGCCGGCGGCGCGAAGCGCCGTGCGAGGGTACTAATTCCCCCCGGCTATTTACACCCGGGGAAACGAAAGCATTAGCGGAGTCTAAAGTTCATCAAATATCGCGGGCGTCGGTCACCAACGATGGGTGGTCATCCTCACTGATCCCAAAAATATGGCGGACTGTCATGAATAACGGACACTGATTGGTCCAATTTAAAGTTTGCATTATAACGGCTGTATGACGACAGCGAAATAGCAAACATTTCTTGATTTGATGAGTTGATGATTGATAAATTTCTTGCAAATATTCTTCATTTTGGCTCGTATTTCTGCAAGATTTTGTAAATTTCAAGAAGAAAGGGCGAAAGAATCAGCTAAAAGAAGGGAGCCGACGTTAACGAAGGTAAGTTTGTTTTAAATATTGATTTTATAATGGCTTTAAAACCCGACGGCCTTTGTGTATATGAAACAACTAAACAAGACGGCATATAATTTCAGTGTATCTTTAATACTGATTCCCTTTTTTATTATATTGAATTTTTTGAATAAAAAATAAAGCAAAGTTGATTTGCAAGCGAGAATTTGAAATCATTTTATTGCAAACTCAAAGTTTATCGATAAAGCCATTTAATAGTTAAAGGCAGTTTAGTTTTATAAAGAACACTTTTGAATTTTACCTTAAATTGAAGCTTGTATTACGTATAATTACATACCTAACATAAATATGTTGGGAAATTGATAATTTTGTAATTAAAAGTGATATTTTTAGGCGATTTTCATTTGTAAGAATATTCTTAAAAAATTATCGTGTTACCATGACAACTACTTTAGATACTTCATGTTCGGAAAATACAACGGTTTTGTCAGCAAGGCGAGGGTTTCTGCATGCATGTATTTTCTAGTTTAATTACTGCGGCACCTTTAACAAGAACAAACATAATGACAATATAGGAACGAGTTGTTTCCTTGTCCTCAGAAGCAAGTTATCCCCGAGCCGGCGGCGCGAAGCGCCGTGCGAGGGTACTAATCCCCCCCGGCTATTTACACCCGGGGAAACGAAAGCATTAGGGAAGTCTAAAGTTCATCAATGAGCGCGGGCGTCGGTCACCAACGATGGGTGGTCATCCTCACTGATCTCAAAAATATGGCGGACTGTCATGAATAACAGACACTGATTGGTCCAATTTAAAGTTTGCATTATAACGGCTGCATGACGACAGCGAAATAGCAAACAACAAACATATCTTGATTTGATGAGTTGATGATTGACTAATTTCTTGCAAATATTCTTCATTTTTGCTCGTATTTCTGCAAGATTTTGTAAATTTCAAGAAAGAAAGGGCGAAAGAATCAGCTAAAAGAAGGGAGCCGACGTTAACGAAGGTAAGTTTGTTTTAAATATTGATTTTATAATGGCTTTAAAACCCAACGGCCTTTGCGTATATGAAACAACTAAACAAGACAGCATATAATTTCAGTGTATCTTTAATATTGATTCCCTTTTTTATTATATTGAATTTTTTAAATAAAAAATAAAGCAAAGTTATTTGCAAGCGAGAATTTGAAATCATTTTATTGCAAAATCAAAGTTTATCGATATATAAAAGCCATTTAATAGTTAATTGTTAAAGGCAGTTTAGTTTTATAAAGAACTCTTTAAAACGTTTTGTGAATTGTTTGTGGTTAAATTTTACCTTAAATTGAAGCTTGTATTACGTATAATTACATACCTAACATAAATATGTTGGGAAATTGATAATTTTGTAATTAAAAGTGATATTTTTGGGCGATTTTCATTTGTAAGAATATTCTTAAAAAATTATCGTGTTACCATGACAACTACTTTAGATACTTCATGTTCGGAAAATACAACGGTTTTGTCAGCAAGGCGAGGGTTTCTGCATGCATGTATTTTCTAGTATTCTTACTATAAAAGCTCATGTATTTTTCCCGACTCCTGCTAGTAACTCCATCATTTACTCCAGAGTCCAGACGAAGGGCCTTCGCTCCAAACGTCGAAATTCTACTTACATTTTTTGGGTAGTTGCATCCCTGCCGACCAAACCTTGTTTATATTATTGGCACTACCTACACTGACACAGACAGTTCATAGAAATAGAAATGCAGAATGAGGTGGCACTTTGGTATGTTTTATATTTAGGTTATGCTAAGAAGAAATGCAATGTATTTTAAAAGCAAAAAACTTCATCTTGATCCTACCTGATACACGGGATGTTCACCTCCGCTCAGCGAACGAAACATTAGTTCATTTTTTGGTAGCTTTTTAACGTATTTTGGGCATTGATATTTATCATAAGATTACTAAGGTTTCCCGTTGAAGCGAGAATAAGGAATGGTTCTAAGAGATGGAATAAGGCTATAAGAAATGGAAGAGATATCTAGTACAGTTTAATCTTACTTGGACATGGCTTTCTGCTGCAGTTTCTAAACTCAGTCGAGTTTCCAAGACCACTGCAGTTATGACCGCCGTATTTTGGTTCAGGATTATTACAAAAGCGTCGCCATATTTCCACTCCATCACCACATGAAACACTGCATGGCTTACTCAAAATCCAGTTGCTGTAACCACCGTTAACTAAAGATAATAATAAAAAGTACCGAGGGAAACTATAAGTCACTTTGTACTGAGAATTGTTTTATTAATGTAGAGTTGACGTACCAGGGCAAGCCTTCGCTGAACATGGTCTGTACTCAACAGGTTCTCCTAGATGACTGCAGTTTCTTCCACCATATTTTGGCTCAGGGTTGTTACATTCTCGTGACCATGTTCCAAAACCTTCACCGCAAGTTACATTGCACGTACTGTTTAATGACCAGTTGCTATAACTACCATCAACTTGTAAAGAAGAAAAACATTGAGGTTTTGTTGCTGCATTTAAACAACCTTGTTTGTTAAAATTTTCTGTACATTAACTAAAAATAAGATTATTTGGTTTAATTTCATTTTCACAAGACCGATTTACACTACACAACTTTTGTCTCCCATCTTACAACTTGAGTTGTACTGTGCAAATCAAGCACACAACTCACCTACAACAATGTAGCCGAGTTGTGTTCTTGATTTACACAGTACAACTCAAGTTATAAGCAAATTGCATGCGACTAATCGAAGGTAAACTTGGGCGCCATGTACCATACGACCCACGTTATTATCAACGTCGTTCCCAGGGCTTTTTTTGAAAATGAGGCGAAGAGAACAGGCCCTGGACTATGCGAACACAGAGAACAATTAACTGTTCATTATTTTTCAGTTGATTCAACCTCAAACTTTGTAGTTTATCTGGTATACATTTAAGGACATCAGTCACTCACAATATCACTCTATATCCAGTATGCGTTTAGGTATATCGCAGTACGATATTATTTTATACCTCGTATATATTTAGGGATTTCACAGTACTCCCATCTCTTGTTCCTATTTGTAGTAAAACACCAAGGTCGTTGTCCAGAGTTCTTAGGATTTCGACAATAATTCTTAGCGTTATTTAGTTCTGGATCTGTTTTGTTCATGGTATGACGATGTGGACATTGCTCTGTCCATGACTGACACGAAATACCGGAGGCTGTTACTGATATGTTGCCATGGTAACTGCTCCCGTTTAAGTAAAGACAATCTGTGTGGAAAGACGATTATTAGTCTGGATTCATTGTCCCAGTTTTGCGACACGGCATAATTGTTTACATATATTATTATAAATTGTACGTAATGTTATAGAAATAAATTTATTTATAGTGGAAAGCTAAACCAACAAAAATTATTTATAGTTTATGAGTTCTAAATTATTCTTCCTCAGGGTTCAGAAAGGCCCATTCTTATTTGATCCAGTGTTATTGCAGTGGGAAACTAGAGTACCAAGAGAAACCTGTGATGTTTGGAACAGGTCATAAAAGCTTTCTTCTCCCATGTGACTAACCCTTGGTTTAATCTAGGATGCTTTCTGGATTCTTACCTGCGATTGGGGACAATTCTGGTGCTGGAGATGCATCTAAAAATGTGTTACAATAAAGAATATGATGGTTAGACGATAAAGGCTGGTTAAGCCACTAGTGGTATTGTATATGCTATATCATGCAAGAACTGCACCATATACTAAGAACGCCTCTGCATGGTTGCCTAGCTTCATATCACTCATGTCTGATTGCAGAACACAACCAAGGAGGAAGGGTTATTCTCGATGATGGAGAAAAATGAGAAGAGACTTTGTCAAACGAAAATGACAGTTAACAAGAGTTTACTACAATTTACCTGTAGAGTTTGCGACTCCATTGAAATACCAGCATTCTGGTGAGTCACCAGCATTCCTAGTCGGTTGTAGTTCGCAACGAAGGAGCTTCTTTGTCCCCGGGTACTCAATTGTATAATAAATTATATACATTTCCCACAGTTTACCACATATGTGAGTCAAGTCAAGACACGACTTATGACACACCTTTTGTTCCTTATAAACGCTTTGGGTTCGATCACAACTCGGGAAATAATGATAACAATACAATATGGTGAAAGCTTGTGTGCACTTTATAATAGAGCTGATGGCAACGTTTGACAAGCGGCTTACTCTTGATACGCCAATTTCCATACGTGCGTCGTAGACCTTGTTAATTTGATCATTTCTATCATTCTGATAGTCGGGCGTCTGATATACGTAGTTGGGTAAAGTGATTCCATGATTTTGACAAAAAGGACGGTAAAGTTTACCAAAGGATAACACGAACTCGAGTTCAGCGTTGGTACAGCTTCGGCAGGAATGCACGTCCTATACAAAGATTGAGCCATCACCGAGATATAATAGTTTTAAATCTACGTCTATGAAACATTTGTTAAAGCTTGTTCGTTGACTTGTCTAGACAAGCAAGAAAACTCGTTAAGGGAAACTTTCTCGTCTGTACGAGGGATAATGTTTGTGTGTCAGAAAAACGATTCACTACGTTAAACATTTGATTTCAAACTAGATTGTATGTTTTCCAGCGGGTCTCGTTAGAATCGACCATCTAGCTTGCGAGAATTTATCTTCATCATTTTCCACCATTTCATCTACAGTAACTTCCACTGGCATGCAGTTTACAGTAATTTGGAAAAAAACATTGTACGAACCTGTTTTTGTCTTGGAGATGATGTTCACCTTAGTGTGAGGAAAACGTTAAATTACTAAAAGTGGGATTTTTTCTTCGGAGCTGGCAATGGGGTTGCTGGGGCAATAGAAGAAATCGCATGTGTATCATGTTGTGCGCTGCAGCGCAATCTCACGAATTGGGGGGGGGGGGAGTGGACTTCCTTGGGTGGAAGGTAAATACACAGAAATATACAGAAAACGTTCCTCGACAGCTTTTACACCGCGGAAATGTCCAACAAAGCTCCGAACTTAAAAAAATTCCTTGATTATTCATTATTTAATATTTGCATGATTAAATTATGAAATTTTGTGCGATTCTCAAGTGCGTTTCAAGCACTTTTAAACAAAATTGGTGTTTTCAAGGACTTTTCAATTGCCCTTGAAATTGGTTTTTCAATTTAAGCAATTTTGAAGGAGTTGTCCCTAGCTACCATTTGGAGAGGATGAGCACAGAATCGTAAGCCCGAAGCGCGTAAGAGGTGAATGGCGCTTGCTCTAGAGATTATTATAATGCACCACCCAAGCACAGCAGATTCTAAACTCAGGCTAATTCTCTTGGTCTCGAATCCGATTTGTCTGTCTGTCCGTCTTGGGTACATTTTATAATCCAGGCACAATCTAATGCGCAGTTGCACTTGCAACAATGAATTGACTTATAAAACTACCAGACTTTACCTGCAACATTTGTGATGATAATCGTTGCTAAAATCAGTATAGTACCACCGCCATTATTAAAACAAACAACCCACATCGTGATTTGCGCGTATAACCTTGTTAATGCTCGATTGATGATTCCAATTTTTTTTCCCAGCTGAAAATTTCAATTATTTGGAATTATATTCCAAATGATGTAAGGGTAATACTTCCGCGTAAAAACATACTGTAAAACGACTTCCTTGATCAGACTTGTAGTTGTGAAAAGCACCCAAGCATATATAATGACAATATACAATTCATTCTAGTAATAATTATCGGGATAAATATAACGGCATTCAAAGACTAGTCTAGACTTTCCGGACTGTGTCACTTCCTTGTATTCCCTGCTTGGGGATGGAGTCAAAGTTTCAAATGTCAAAAGCAAAATGTCAAAAGTTCTCTTCGTATAAACGTTGTCGTTCAATATTTAGCCGACCTACACACCGGGCGTTCAAACCGTACACAGATTCGTCAGCTTTCACTTAATCACATGAAGAATTCTCATCCGGTCCTTTGTGAACGGAATCTAAAAAATGATCATTATTACGTTACAAAACCAAAGATTTACCAAAACCATTAGTGTAACCAAAGCGATTCGAAAACTCCAGTGAAATTATACTCCAATTTATGAGCAAATATACTCATTTTCTTGAGTAAAGCAAATGTTTACTCCAAAAATCGAATAATTGTGAGTCAGTGTGGGTGCATTATTTACTGTAACTTTGAACAAAAATTTAAATATTTATTAAAATTTCTCCGGCCACAGTACTTTGAAACTGTACATAGATTCAAGGCTCCAATTAATCACATGAGGAATTTGCATCCGGTCCTTTGTGAAAGGAACCTAAAAAATTATCATTATTGCATTGGAAAAAAATTTGAAGGACAAACTTCAGTAGAAAAATATTACCAAAGTCCCTCAGAACCTCCAGTAAAATTGTATTCAAATTTATGAGCAAATTTACTCATTCTCCTCACAAAAATTTAAAACTTTATCAAAATTTCTCCGGCCACAGTACAGTGAAGATTATTTTAACCGGCATTACGGCAAAGTTATTTTCGTGAATTGACACTTTCATGTCTGCTGTCATGTATAACTAAACTTCGATATCTTCCATTGGATATTGCATTTCCACAGTTCGTTTACCGTATAAGCAAGACTCACGACACGTTTTTGGAATATTTTTGGCTGGGGGTAAGTTCCCAATAGCCATTTTATTACTGCAATTATTGACTTTAACAGAAATTATTTACTATAAATTTTACATATGTGTCAACAATGTCTTGTCCAGTATGGTGAGGGCACAAATTACGCAAACATACCCAGAACGCAATGACTATCGTAGCCAGAAAAGTATACATACAGATATGAGGAGAAGGTGAGCTATTAAAATTTTGAAGTCTTTACTCGCCAGAAGACCGAAGCGAATGATTTAAAAAAACGAGGGTGGACTTATGACACCCTGTCAAAATGTCCCATCTTATCTTAAAATATTTGCCTATAGATACTCTGTGATCTTTAATAGGCACAGTTTCCTCATGTATGCCTTTTCGTTGAAAAAACAATCGCCCATTGAGGGGTTTAGGTAATTTACGCAATAATGTTTCTAGTTTGCCCGATAGCACTACACTCTACAGTCAATCATACAAATTATTGAAAAAGAAGGAAAGTTTCTATGAAGAGATGGACCAAGGTTCTATACTTCGATAGTCTGATAGATCAAACATTTTCTGTCGTCGACGCATTCTCGCTTCCTGTGGGCAATATAACTACTGAGTAACTGCGGGTCTTTCCAATGTACTGCAGGTATAAGTTTTATTACTCCACTCCACTTCCGGCCGAGTCGCCTTGGGGTGGGTTCACTGATCTGAATAATACTGGATCACGCATGTAATATATTTAGTCAATCTATTTTTGAAGTCGTCGTCGCCATCTTGGTACTCCAGGCCCACTGTTCTTTGCGGGTGCGATCGCATTTCTTGCAGCAAGCTCGTGGTGGAGTCTTCTGTTGAATTCGAACTTTTTTTTTAAATCTGACTTATATTTTTTTATTATGTGTTTTTTTAAATATGCTCGATCACAAGCGTAACCTTTTGGCCTTTATAATATTGAAAGAGCAACTACGATTCCACAAACTAACAAAACTTCCTGATCACTGTCAGATCATGATTCAGATCGGGTGATCATATTTTAAAAAGGTACGTTTTTACATATTTTTTGGATTGGTTTTATTTTCATACATGACTTATTCTTGAGACGAATAGAGAATGGGTATTAGTATTTCAATAACAATTTTCAATAGTTGCTGCCGTAGCGAGCGAGCGTGAAGCGAGCGAGCGAGGCAGCAAACCCTAATATTTATGTATATGTATATATATATATATATATATATATATATATATATATATATATATATATATATATATATATATATATATATATATATAAAGCAGATGAAATCTCGGTCGTTTTCGGCGTATTTCGGCCTACCACAATGCACTGCTTCCGGGACGGCAGGCTATTCTTGCCTAATAAACAGGCATAAGGCAAACAAGCAATGTGATCATCTTTCCTCTTTGGTTTTCTTTTATGACCTTTTATGGAAAGCCATAGGCATGATCAAACGGCATTTGGTCGATACGCAGTGGTTCGAGCTTTATACGCGGTACTTTCGCTATTATACGCAGTGGTTCGAGCATTATACGTGGTGCTTTCGCAATTATACGGGGTGCTTTTAACAAAATTTCCATATTCTTTCCATGTATATATAATCTCACGATTGCTTAAATTTGGTATGTGGCTGTGCTTTTTTGCCTCTGGTCTGCAATGACAATGGCATGCTTTTAAAAAGGTTTGTTTATAAAAAGGTGACTGCACTTTGTGAGTTCTATATTATCATGTAGTGTTGATTTATTAGTAATAAATCTGTGTATATAATTAATAAACATAGGTATATAAATTAATATAACGCAGCGAATGCGCGCCAAGCAGTATAAACGCGGCTGAAATACGATATTAAAATTAAAATCTTGAACGTGCCGTATGATTTAATTATGTTTTAGGATTTAAAGCAGCGAATGCGAGCCAAGCAGTATAAACGCGGCCGAAATACGATATTAAAATCTTGAATGTGCCGTATGATTTAATTATGGTTTAGGATTTAAAACCTTTAAAAATGCTTTGTCATTTGTATTTGTACTTGTACTGCATAACAAGGCAGTGCGTAAATGAACAGATTCCACATGTGAGGTTGTCTTGTATATATTTTTGCCTTTTTTGATAAACTTTATTAAACACGCAAATTTAGTGCGACGCACACTCGCACATGTTAAATGTCACCTGCATGTCATTGTAATTGCCCTTTAACCCCTGGTCTAAATCATATGATTATTGAAGCGGAGCCGTTTTGACCTATAGCACCGTATTTGTAGGCAAATTGTCTATACAATTTTATATACTATAGATATCGCAGCCATACCTGCCATTTTGATCTTTTCCTCGCGTTAGATAAGTTGATAAGTACACTCATTCTTGTTAACCATCGTACCTGTTCGGCTGTTCCTTTTTCGATACGAAACTTCGAGCGCACATTCAAGTGTATAAATTATGGATGATTCCAATTAATTACAAGTATTTCTTACTCTTACTCTTTAAAATATTAAAGATTTGGGAACAATGCTATACCAAGGCAGCATTCACTACCCTGTGGGTAAACTAGTATTTACAAATAAACTATTATAACATTTTATAATTTAAAATAGTAAATAATTTTATATTTTAACATGGAAACACAAACTGTACAGGATAAGGCGAATTTAAAAATCTTAAAATGTTCAGTATGTTCCACCAAACATGAATTGTCTACTGGTTTTTAAATAGGATTGTCTTCGATAGTATTTTCCTAATGTTTTCTCCTCTAACCTTTGCAGTTGTTTCCTTTGCTAGGTGGTGCATTCTTATTTTTAACAAGCATTTGGCGATGCATTTTATCAGCCTCAAGAGATGGATGTTAATTGTCAGGAGAGCTGTCAAACATGTGATCATGGAGAGATGAAAATGAATTTTTCTTGACAGCTTCTTCCAAGACCACTGATGAAATTGCTGAGACAATCTTTGACGATGCGGGTAAGTTTCCCCCTGTTGAATGAAGCATTCTTACCACACATTGCTTTGTGCTTTGGAAAATTTGGTAAACACTTGCAGAAGCTTCAATTAGTCCTCCATGGTTTTTCTGTCTCACCAATGAGTTAAACTTCGTGTTGTTTGGATCTTTCTCCACGAGAGCATCAATGCAAGATTCGCAAGTTACTGACCGTTTTACCATTCTGACCACATAACCTTCAATGTAACCAACAGCTGCTTCTTTGTAAGAGCTTAAGGTAATTCCGCAGTTTTGCATTGCGCACTTTTACTGCGCACATCTTATATAACTTATAATTTCATCCATTATACCTACCGTTTTAAAAAAATCATTTTATGACAATTTTATGTTACTTCCAAACATCTTTGGTTACATTCGTGTAAAGAATTACGTTAAAGTCAATGTTTTCAAAAAAGGCATACAAAACTGTAGCTAGGGTTCCCTGTGTCTGTAGTATATTTATTTACTTGTATTTCACGTTTTAATGCCACAATTCCCTAAGAAGATCGGTGCTCCCCGTTTTTTAACTGATAATTTATTTCTTTAATGCATTTTACATTTCATATCCAAAATTAAAAGAAAAATCATTTCTGGATCTTGAAAAAAAATCCTTTATCAATGCATGTTCTCAAAGAAAGATATGTAAATAAATGTGGAAAAGACATTTGTGGATCAGAATTGTACACGTTAGTAGTTTCATTTTGCTGAAAACACAATATTTTTTCAAAAATAATTACAAGATAGGTTTACTAAAGCCGCGCTAAAAACGTCAATAAATATCGGGCTGTTGTGATTTTGCTGTTATTCGTAATGAGCGTCAAGATGGCGCCATATTGGGGGTAAAGGTGGTATATTGTGACTGTCATATCTTCTTAACGAGTTCGGTGACCCCGACATTTTTGTGTGATTTTACTTTAAGTATGTCATAAACCCCATGCCTGGGAAGTTTCAGCACATTCTCACTTCGGGAACAATCACTGCGGAATTACCTTAAATAGTTAAAATTTGGAGCATCCACATAATCATGATCTGTTTGTTGTGGTTCTAGGCGTACATTTAGGTCATATCTTCGGATCCGTTGTTACGTCAGAAACATCAATATCAGCATTAACATGGTTGATGGTTGTGGTATCTTTTACAGCATGTAGAATGTTTGTAGCATCTAATGCTGTACAATTTCCAGATGCACTGACTTCGTGACGTAGGAGCAGGCGTTTGTAGGCAGCCATGAATTGTGTTGCTGTCGGATTATTGTTCCAACCTCCTGACGAGCGTATTGCTGCAAAGAATAACTCCAAGTGGTCTTGACATAGTTTATATGTTAACAGGTATGTCATAGAAACATTTGTGTTTCTGAATAAGAAGACTTTATTGTATGGTACATTGCACCTGTTCAAATACTCAGAATCGAGCACAAAATGGTCAATAACAACGTGAATTATAAATAACGAACATTCAGTTGGTGAAAACTAAATGACCAGTCACGTTTCTATGACAATAGAACACGTATTATTGCGTATTACAGTACATGTTCTACCCTGTTTAAGTTTGAAGATGTCGATTATGATGCATATCAAGTCCACTGTTCGTATAACAGGTACTCACGCACGTTAAGTTGTTGCAAGCTTTGGAAATTGTGGAATCGATTGTAATTAAATCACTGTCTTATAGACTTATTTTATATATTGAAAAATTGACTGTAATCCATACTCTAATTTCAATTTTGTATATAGATTACCCATCATCCAAAGTAAATCTTATTTAATATTGTACTATTTTTGTTGATTATCATTATGAAACGTTATCTATCGTTCCGTTAGATTACTAATGAAGTAAAACTTTCTATACACGTCTCGTGTCAGAAAGTCGTAGTGTATCTGCAAGCCTAGCTTTAGGCAAATATTTGCTTATAACACAGACGGATGGAGGGGTTCGGAGGAGTACGCCCCCCCCCTCCCCCACCAAAAAACTTGTGTACCCCCAAACGTTTTTCCGCCCCACCTAGAAAAATTTGAAACCCAAAAATTTCAATGCTCATTGCGACACTTGCTAGGAAGATGGCGACCATGGGACAACTTTTTTACTGAAGTTACACATCTGTCCTTACTTAATCTATGTTGGCATGCAACATGTACGCGCTGCGTACCTATTTTTATAGATTTGTAAAAGGCATTTGATACTGTGGACCATAACATTCTATTGAACCAGCTAATGCATTATGGAATTAAAGATAATGAATTAAAATGGTTCCAGTCATATCTATCGAATAGGACTCAATGCTGCTATGTCAATGGAGTTCTTTCAAGCAGCCAAATAATATCATGCGGAGTACCACAGGCCTCTATCCTTGCACCGCTGTTATTTTTTATACACATCAATGATTTGCGTGGTTGCTTGTCCGAATCCATCCCTAATATGTATGCTGATGATGCAAATATAACTGCTCATCATGCAAATTAATAAAGTTGAAAACGTTCATAATAAAGATCTAGACATATCTTGTATAGATGGTTGCAAGCAAATAAACTAAGTTTGAACGTCATAAAGAGCGAGTATATTTTAATTGGCTCTAAAATCCGAATAAATAAGTTGACATCAGATCCTAAGATATTTATCGGAGGACACCCCTTAAAGCGAGTAGTTGTAACAAAATCCCTGGGCTTATGATTGATGAAAATTTATCGTGGGAAGAGCACGTAAATTATATATGCAAAAAAGTATCCAAAGGCCTAGGAATGTTAAGACTCATTCGTGATCTGGTGCCAATGAACAGGCTAGTTCACATATACTCTTCTATTATTCTCACCCATTTTGATTGCTGTAGTTCTGTGTGGGCCCATAATTGCAGAAACGTTTTACGTGATAAGCTTCAAAAATTACAGAATCGAGCAGCTCGAATAAGTACTAGGAGCAACTACGAAATACGCTCTTCCCAAATTTTAAATAACTTAAATTGGCCGGCACTAGAAGATAGGCGAATGAAACAAAAATCTTGTCTAATGTTCAAAGTGTTCCACAAATTAGGCCCATCTTATCTTTCACAGCCATTTAATTGAGCAAATTTAATTCACAGTCATGGTACACGAGGTCATGACTACAATTTTGTTATCCCTAATATTATAACCAAACACAAACTTTTTGAAAAATAGTCTTGAATATAATGGAGCAGTGGTATGGAATTCAATCCGATTGATATTAGGAATTCCACTTTCCTAAAAATATTCAAAAATAAACTGTAGAATTAATTTGTTATGTATATAGCTTTAATTTCTCATTCTCCTTGCAAATATTATAAATATTTCAAATGTCACGGCGCCTGGGAAGATCATCATATTTTCGATGACAGGCCTCCGTGCCTAAATAAAGTTCACTATCACATCACAAAGATAGACGGTAGAAGAAAAAGCAGATGGAAAGGCGGATGGAGGAAAGAAGAACGGGAGAGGAGAAGAACAGGAAGAAATTAAAGAAAAAGAAAAGAGGGACGAGGGTAGGAAGGAGGAAAGGAATTTTAATAGGAAGAAGAAAAGGTATGCCCGAAATATAAGATGAGATAGGGGTATGAGAGAAAAGAGAAGTGGAGGAATGACAGAGAAAGTTTTACTTTATGATTTCACTATATATTTGGCAAAATTTATGAAAACTGAAGAAGCGATTGGCGCAAAGAAAATGAAGACAAGGATTGACCAGATTGACAAAACGAGGGGAAAGATAACACGCGAATGAATACGAACAACAAAGGTTTATACGAGAATCTAGCTGAAATTTTGTATTTTTTTTTCTAATTAAATGTTACTTTACTTCATGAGCGACTGTGCGCCGAGTTACGCGTTGATACAGAATGAATAGACGGTTTTAGATAACAAGACGCGGACGTCAAGAGGACGTGGATGTCGTCATTTGGCACCAACTATCGTCAGCTTCTAGTTTGCGACGTCGTCTTGGACGATTTCACGACGCGAAAATACAATTTTCACGTCCTCTCTAGAACGTCACTGATTTTTGCTTCTTTTGAAAAAAATATGAGACCATTATGCATAATACAAATGATCCTATTTTGTTCCCCATGTATTGTTTAATGATACTAGCTAACTAACTAGATAAATCATGACCTTACCAACGTTAAACAATGGCTTTCTGCAAATAGATTATCTCTTAATCTAGTCAAAACTGAGTATCTACTAATAGGATCTCGGTACAACATAAATAATTTACTTGCTGCTCCAAATGTATTTGTTGGTGATACAGCAATTAAAAAGGTCAAAGAAACAAAAGCGCTTGGAGTTCATATTGACGAATTTCTATTGTGGGATAAGCATATTGATAAAATTGCTAAGAAGATTTCATCCGGAATTGAGGCGATCAGAAAGCTGAAATCTTGTGTGGATCATAATACATTAATTTGTGCTTATAATGCACTTATACTTCCACACCTAGATTATTGTTGCGAAGTTTGGGACACCATTGGTGCCACACTTTCTGATCGACTCGAGAAACTACAAAATAGGGCAGCTAGAGTTATTACTGGCCGTAAAAACGAACACGGTTAATCTGAACTTGTTCTAGACGAACTGAAAATATGGAAACCTTTAAGTGAACGCAGAACACATTTCGTAGCAAGTCTTATGTATAAAATAACTCGCGAACTGGCGCCAAAACGACTAACCAATATTTTTCAAAGGACGTCTTCCTCTTATTACTATAATATGCGAGGCTCTTCCACCAAACTCTTTTTGCCCAAACCTAAGACTGAATATCTTAAAAAAGTCTTAGTTATAGAGGAGCGAAATTGTGGAACAGCCTTTCTGATGAAGCAAGAAACAAACACACTCTTGCTTCGTTTAATTCATGTATACGACACCTGGCCAATTAATTAACTAATTAATAAAATAATTACGTTAATTTAAAATATTGAACAGTACTAACATTAATTTAATTTGTAAATAATTATATACTAGTTGTATTTGTAAATATATTGTAATTGTTGTTAACTGTAATGTAATGTAATGTAATGTAATGTAATGTAATGTAATGTAATGTAATGTAATGTAATGTAATGTAATGTATGACCATAATTTGTATCAATTGTACTTTTTAACTATTTAAATCTACGCCCCCCTTGGAAATCAGCTTTCGCTGTAGGGGTTAGCGTAGTTAAATAAAGTTTTACCTATCTACCTACCTAGCTAAAGTTTTTCCATTGACAAGGTTATTTTTCTTGTATTTCGCTAAATTTTAGACGAGTTGATTTTCGACAAATACTTTCGGTCGCCATAAACAAATCAACAAAACTTCAAGCATTGTTAATATTAACCACTTCAATACCTCTAGTAATCTTCACCAAAACAAATATTTTAGAACAAACTAAACTGAAGTTATATTAACAACTGTTTAAAATCAGGAAAACGTGGGAAAATAGAAAAATAAAAGCACTTAAAAAGCAGTAAAAACTCAATAATTTTAGTTGCTCTGTCACAACAGTCAACAGTGCAAAAAGTAGGACAAGCAAAAAAACGCTTTCCAGCGTGAAAAACTATCGTAAACAGTATTAAATTTTACCAATATAAACACTGATGCTATACTTATACTGAACAGTTGACAAACTTGATTGAATATGCTACAATTAGCTCGTAAACAATACCTGCAGCTGTTGTATTTATTCCAAATGATGCAATAAAGTTCACTTTTCAAAATACCAAAAAATAACTTTTTTTTCTAAAAAAAACTTATTGAATGCCCATATACGAATTCATCAGGAAACACTTGGCCAGTATTATATAGCCTTTTCTTGTACATATATTGAAAACAATACAGGAATGAACAGGTAACAAGAAAACAAAAATTTGCTTCGAAAAAGACAAACAAGCCGTCCCAGATTAAAACCCGGAAGTAAACGCGAGGTGCATACGTCATTTTTACGTCCTCTTGACGTCCGCGTCTTGTTATCTAAAACCGTCTAATGGAAGAATGATGAAGGCAGAATAAATTTAATGAAAATGATAAAATTTAATTGCATACTGGCATTTTATACCTGACCGCTTTTTACATCATATTTAATCAATGTTATATTTTCAACTGGATTACTTGGAGTTGCGGGTTGTTGCGGTTGTACTATAAAACAAACATCAATGAGTTCAATTCTTTGCATGTTTGCATGGCGATAAAACATATAATAGTTTTGTTTGTGGAAACACCACGTAAATTTATTACTGCAAAGCTTTCGATCCGTAAGCCCGGATCTTCATCAGTGCTAATAATATGAGCACAAGCCTATGCCATATTATTAGCACTGATGAAGATCCGGGCTTACGGATCGAAAGCTTTGCAGTAATAAATGTACGTGGTGTTTCCACAAACAAAACTATTATAAACATAAATGAGCAGTTATAAGGTGCATTTTATAGATGAAATAATTCCAATTTCATTCTGGTCAAAAAGAACAATTACCTTCAACCTCAATGTTTGTTGTAATGAGGCCAGTCCTTTAGCACAGCAGTGTATTTGAACATATTATATACAACAGATGCCGCCATTACACTGGAAAAACGTTGCCAATCATTCGTCATTTCTTTACTTCCGTCAGCCAAATCCGACACTGCTTTAATAACAGCCCATTCTGTGCCAAGATCATGTGCCGCTGCATATAGACCTAAAATTGAAACACAAAATGAAGCCACTACTGTATATACAATGTGAGGATGTGTTCATTTTATAGCTATCCTGCTGGCTTATTCCGTATAGCAGATACGCAACAGAGTTTATCATATTCTGGGTTGATTCAGAAATGTCAGTATTTTTCTGTTCAGCCAATTTTAAAATCACAAGAAATTTCATATTAAATAAGGTTGATAGATATAGAATACACAGATAACAAAACTTTTGCTTCACCGATGTAGGAGGCTTCTATCCACCTGCACCTTCCATTTCAAGACCAAGTGCGTCTCGGAAGCATTCCCCTAACTCGTCTCGTCTCTGACGATTGTTAACTAACTCTGAGCCACTTAACATCGTAGCGTCACAATGAACTTCAACTTCTAAATTATCCAAGTCTTCTAACGGTGCTTGCCAACCTTCAGCTGCACTCAGAATAAGACTAGCCATATTTCGACTCACATTTGGTTTGACGCCGCGTTGCTCAACTTTCCCATCTGCCCTGACTTTCTTATCATCATAAGTCTGTAATTTCGCGGAAATCAGGACATCGCCAAGTTTTGCCTTCGGCTTCATGGATGCACAGATTCCGACAAAAAGGACTACTTGTGGATTTAAAATGTCAGCAGCATTTTTCACAGTTATCGCAGAATTAGTCGGTCCCTGCGCACATTTTATCAATGCAACTCTCTTTTGTTCACCAAATTGACCAAAATATACCGTTCCAATAGTTTTAAGATAACTTCGTTTAACAGGGCTCATATATTTATAACAAGCGATGAACTCATGTTTATTTGCTGTTATTAGCAGAATATTTGTCGGCAGTTGCGACTGAATCTCATCACTTGACCAGTCCTGTAATTCTTCCCCAATATCCTGTAGTTTTGGAAGGACGATATTCAGTTGTGGTGGTCGTGGTAAACGATCATTGCCATCAAAAGCCATGACCTGCAATCAATAAAATTATAATTGAAGAATTTTTGTAGATAGACATTTCGCCTAGCCAGGAGCAGTTATCCAGTTCGAGCGAGATGCCCAAATCTAGAGGTTTCTCGCGCTTTCGGCCTCACTCGGTCAGTCCAAAAAGGGCCTGCACTTTAATATAAATGGCAAGACCCTTCACGCAATTGGAAAAAATGCATTTTGATATATCCGACTCACAAATGTTCAATTCAGGCGCAATAAATTCACAATTTGCATAACAAGACTGTTAGTATTCACTGTAGTACTTTCCGGAATGCCATGAAATTCAAGGAAGTCTTACCCTGGATTCCAGAGCCTTGGACAGTAAATAATAAATTGAAATGTCGCGAAGGCTCTGGTTCAACGGGGTGATTCTTTGATTAAACCACGCCAATCACAAAACGGAATTAGTGGTTTTAGTACAGATTCTGTACTAAAATCACTAATTCTATTTTGTGATTGGCGCGGTTTAATCCAAGAATTGTCCCGTTGAACCAGAGCCTTCGCGACATTTCAATTTATTATTTACTGTCGATCGAAGGCTCTGGAATCCAGGGTAAGGAAGTCTCTACGTAGATAGCAATTCATGCTTTCAATTTCATCATCGGCTGAGCTGCACTGAGTCTCTAGGACACCCACTCGTTCTTGTAGTTTAGTATTCATTTTGCGAAGCTCGTCGTTTTCATCTTTTAACTAATTATTTGTCGAAGCGACTAAGCCATCGAACTTTGCTGCAAGGAAATCTTGACTTTGCTTAATAGATTGCAAATCTGCTTTGGTTGTATCAATAAACTTTGCGAATAGATTATTAATTTGATCAGACTGTTGTTTTAAACGCTGATCCAGCAACGCCTCTAAACCCGAAGGGAAGGTCGCCATATTTGCGTTCTCGATAACACTTCAACTGATACAACACTCGGAAGGTTCAATTATTCTTGTTGTTTTTTCTTCTTTGGAGGCATTATTGTAGCACAAATTATAACTTACTGTTGATTTAGTGTACTATACACGAACAAAATAATAGCATATAACAAAACTAAAACGGTATGGTATGGTATGGTATGGTAAAACTTTGTTTATTAATGACGCTGGCCACGACAGCAATTAGCTGATTTCCACGGGGGGCGTCAAATATTAACTATTTACAAAAAGAAATATTTACATTGTAAATGTTACTGGTGTGACCACAAATATCATTTAGCTATCATTACCTCTAATAATATTCTTAAATTGGCTAACAGATTCCGCTATTCCACAGGTAAATGACCTCTCACGAGGAACCAGCTGTTATTTATTACTACGGGAAGATCATCATTCATAATTTTGAGGTTATGCCTCGATCCTATATACATTACTTTCGTTTTTGTTGGATGGTGTTGTAATTTATTTCTAATTAGCCATTCTCTGAGTTTGTTCATATCATGGTTTATATTTTCGGTAAGTTTTTCTAAGTCTTTCGCTGCCGAAAAAATCTGAGTATCATCTGCATACAAGCAAGGGGTGGTTTTATCAAGACAATCTAGTAGATCGTTAATGTACAGTAAGAACAGTAAGGGACCCAGAATTGATCCCTGCGGGACACCACAAACGATCTTTTTTAGTGTAGATGTAATTCCATTAACTAAACACACTTGTTCTCTGTTAGTTAAATAGGATGAGAACCAATCTAGTTCAACATTAGTTATTCTAAATTGCACTTTCATTTTACGCAACAAAATGGTATGTTTAATTGAATCCTTTCCGGATATCGAGGAAAACGACCCCATTCAATTCACCGTTGTCCATGTTTTCATATAATGTATCACACATCTGAATAAGTGCGGTAAGGGTCGAGTTCTTTGGCCGAAAGCCTGACTGGTATTTAGAAAGAAGAGAATTATCAATAAGAAATTTATATATCTGATTGAAAAAAGATCTCTCAAGTATTTTACTAATGATAGGTAGAATCGAAATTGGGCAATAATTTTCGCATTTTTGTCTATTGCCAGATTTATAGATTGGTACTACCCTAGCCTTTTTCCATTCATCAACATAGATTTCCGTTTTAATAGAAAGATTAAATATCCATGTTAATGATGGTCCAATAATATTTGCAGCTATTTTAAGAGCTTTTGCTGGAATGTTATCGATGCCTGTCTATTTTGATATTTTTAGATTAGCTAACTGATGAATTACTTCATCAGGGTGGATTTTCAGGGAAATTGAATAAAATGTCTTGACGAGGATTTTGATAATAATTTGCACTGTTACCCGAGTTAAACATTCATGGACTCATATTCAATGTCAGAGGCCAGTGTAGTCCCAATGTTAACAACGGAGCTCGAAATATACGTCTGCTCCGCCTGACTGCTCGTTTTGGGACAACTTTCTTTCCCTAAATTAACCTGGTTTGTATAAAACATCTATGAAAGGATAAAACATCTATCAGCAAGCAGGTCCAAAATTGCGATTCACTTTTCAGTGGTATTTGAGAATTAAAAATTTGATAGTTGCAAATCGAAATCTTAATAATTGCTGAAGAGAAGAAGTATGGCTGATTTTGAGTAATTTTTTCCGCCACTTAATTAGCCTGCGTGGCAGGCGGTTTTAGGGAGACCGTAGGAAATACCGCCTGCCGCAAAATTGGGTGTGAATGAACTACCGCCTCTGAAGCATCAAGGCTATTTACAGGTGCATTAATTCAGTAAATATTCAAAATTAGCCGCTCCCAAGTTGCTCCCAAGTTGCTCCCAAGTCCCAACATAAAATAAATTCCTTGATTCTCACACAGGGAGCCCAAGCATTGATCTGTGTCTGTGTTGTATTTTTTCAGTTTATTTATTTTAGTGTTTTTATATTGTCTTTTAATTGAATTATAACACTAAATTACACTAATATGTCATATAATAATAATACTCCTATAGTCGAACATATAATAACAACATATAAGTTGATTTGTATTTGTATGTTTTTCAGTTTATTTAAGATCTATTATTAGCTTATATAAAAGCACCGCTTTTCGAACCTGACAGCCCGTTCGCAGGATACGGGCGGGATTTGAAATAGGGGGCGGCAACAATATAAATACGTGACAAGGGATGAACTCTTAAAGTTTGTCGTATTATGAATTCCCCGACATGAGTGGACCGATAATTATGCAATGAGTGTCCAGGGGCGGCGCTAACCCTCTTCGAGTGGGGGGAGGGGGGTGAGTGATCTTTTGCCGACTGTTGTTTGGTGATTTTGCCGAGTCATTAGCCTATAGTGAGGGTCCTGAGGGGGGGGGGTCCCTATCCCATTTTCCACCTGAAATTTTGGCAAAATCCCAGTACCAGTTGGATTTGTATTAGAATCCCAGCCCGAGTTATTGAAATCCCAGTCAATAAAAAACGCTTTATTTATCGGTAGAATAAACAGTTTTAAGACCTTTTAAGCCACCGTGTGTGCAAGTGGCAGACACTTTATGAAATATGGGGGGGGGGGGGGG